ATTTATTCATATATTATTATATTTATTAATTAATATTCAATTATAATTTTGTAAGTAGATTTATTATATTTATTAAATTTTTTCGTTTTTCTATTCAAATGTAATCTGTAGGACTTTTTTATTCTGTCATTTCATCTCAAATCTCATGTCAATAATTTTATTCTAATGGCATTTACGTAGAGTGCATGAAAATACCATTTCCCCCCTTCCTTCTCTATTATCAACAGTTGTCTCTGTCTGTCATTCGCTTCTCTTTGTTCTACGCATTGTCACGTGGTCATATAACAAATGGATAGCCGATGAGCAAGGCAAGAAAAGAGATATTTTATAGGGAGTCAACTATTTTAAAATAGAGAAAAATTTCCAGAATAAACAATTTATAGTACACAATAAAACCCTCTATTCTTAATATTCTTCATTTTCGTGCGCTCAACATCTTCGCCGGCGTTATATTCCCACCATTTTACGATTGCCACTTGGCAATGCACACGTAAAATAAAAATGTCAATTATTATATATCAATTATTTATTGGTATATCATTATATTTATTACTTAATATTTAATATGTAATTTCGTAAATATAGACTTATTATATTTATCAAATTTTTATTTTTCTATCTATTTAAATGCAATCTACAATAGGCCTATCCTTCTATTCTGTTATCTCATCGAAATACCTCTTCAATTATGCATGATTAAAATGACATTTTCACTTTATTCAAGTGCTATTGAAATAGAGTGAGAATTGAGAGAAAGTATCAAGAATACTTCGGAAGTATCAAGAATACTAACGGAGTTTATTTTCAACAATCGCGCTGATAACAAAATAAGCTTGACTTCGAAAGATATTACTTGCTTAGGGTCCCGAAAGAAGTAGACACGGCATTGCTTGTCGTACACATACGGGGACACGGAATCTGTATGTATGTTGTGTGCGCGTTGCATTACGTCTCGCGCGCGAGGCTTGGATTTTAGTCCGTGACACGGTATTACCGCGACTCGAGCGACTCGCGGAACAGTTCGCCGACTGGCAGGACTGCGAGACGGCAACATTTCGCGGTTATTCTTAGTGTTCTCGCGAGGAAAAGCGGAACGCGCGCGCCGCTTCCGCTTCCGTCCATCGCGCTCGTCTGGACCCGCGAAACGATTTGGTTCACGCGAAATAGTCGCGTTCGATGTGTATCGATATGCGTAGTCGGTAGTTGATCCCGCTCGTGCTCCGACTTGGATTAGAGGCGAGAGTGAGCAAGAAGGAAATAGTGAATCGCAAGGAGCAAGAATACCCCTTCTCCCCACCTCTCTTGCAAAAGAGTTACGCGTGTAACGAGGCGAGATTTTGTCCGAAGGAGGAAAAGAGCGAAACCTCGCGCAGGATTTGACTTTTGGGTTCACGCTCTCCGCTCTGGGACTATGTGGGACATCGCGACGGAGCGAGTCCTCATCGCGGCCGGAATGTCGCGGAATGGGGCCCGTTGATCGGGTCCGCAGCAACGGACTTCGACGACCATCCACGGCGGAGGTATGGACGTCATCGGTGATGGGGACGAGCAGACCCTCCAGGCGATTCTCGGTGAGTTCTGCGCTTTCTTCGTTTCTTTTTATTGTTTTTTTCTGTTGCATATCGCATTTGCATGATTCGAGGCGGCATTCTATAATTTTGAACGTGTTTTTATAACGATACTACACATTTTTTAAATCGCGACAGTAAGCGCGGATCAAAAGCGATAATCGCGAACAAGCTACGATGACAGATACGGAATGTCGCGCGAATTTGACACCGACACCGTTACCGTACAGCTTGGCTATACGCTCTT